GTTACCTGGGACTCTTCATCAGTTGTTTTAGACTTGAGGAAACCTCTGGATGGAGTGAAACACCTTTATGAACCAAAGGAAGTCCACTTACCTTCTTTTCATGTGGCCACACTTTCACCTGCTGCTCCAGGCGGTCGCCACAGACGCCACATGCTGCCCGATGCCCTCGCTGACACAACACAACCACCCCATTTATCCAGACTTGGGACCACAAGCTAACGAAGACCGAGCAAGTAATAAAAACAGAGAGAATAATATATATTCATGAATATGATCATTATCTGTGAACAACTGCAGGCCTTCTGGGTTTGTAAACAGCTTTTAATAAAATAATCTGCAATCTTTGCCAAACTCATGGAGTTTAAAACAGGGAATCAATGAACTGTGTGTGCGTGCGTGCGTGCGTGCGCGCATGCGTGTGCGTGCGTGCGTGTGCGTGTGTGTGTGTGTGTGTGTGTCACGTTGTAGTCCAACTGTTCACTGTGCAGTTGGCATTTTAAAAAACAAGTGCCCCACGCCTGCGTCTGACTGGGATACAGACTCTACCTTTAATGTCAGACGAAGCCGGTGAGCTGTGTTTCTGTGTCTGTAGCACATGTGTGTGTGTAACATGTGTATAGCGTGTGTAGATTGTGTGTGAGTAACTTGTCTGTAGAGTGTGTGTAGGTTGTGTAACCCTTCCAGCACCCTCGTCTCAGAGGTTTCTGGAGGAAAGCTGGTGCAGCTGGTGGAAGCGATGCTGAGTCACTGCGATTGATCGCATTAAGTGTGCGCTCGCACTGTAAAACTTAACCGGCCTTTTAACGGCACACTGAGAGCCGTCTGCAAGCATTTACGCTCATTTCCTCCATCCTCACTCTCACCAGGCTGTTTTTCACATTTTAATCAAACTATTAAGTGAGTGTTTGGTCATGCAGGAGATATCAGTGTGTTTGTTTCCTATTACTTCAACATAAGTTATTAATATAAACCCTGTAATTAGGCCCTATCACTTTTATGGTACAGTAAACTGACTGCCTGATGTTTAATCCACAGCCCTCACACACAGACACACACACTCACACACACACACAGACACACTCACACACACACTGACACACACATACACACTCACACACACTCACACACACACACACACACACACACACTGACACAGAGACACACACACACACACACACACACACACACACACACACACACACACACACTCACACACACACACACACACACACACACACACACACACACACACACACACACACACACACACACACACACACACACACACACTCACACACACTCACACACACTCACACACTCACACACACACTCACACACACACACACACACACACACACACACACACACACACACACACACACACACACACACACACACACACACACACACACACACACACACACTCACACACACACACACACACACACACACTGACACAGACACACACACACTCACACACACTCACACACACACACACACTCACACACTCACACACACACTCACACACTCACACACACACACACACACTCACACACACACACACACACACACACACACACACACACACACACACACACACACACACACACACACACACACACACACACACACCGAGTACTGAACTGTGAACCAAATAATGACTTTATTTTTTCTTTTTCAGTCGGCTTCATTTGATTAATTGCGGGAAAGAGTCCAGAGGTCGTGAGCGCTTCTGTCACGAGACAAAAAAACTTTTCACCGTTTCATGTGCGCTTTGAAAGTTTGCTTCGGTTTTATTTGGACTTTTGTGACTGTTGGTGAGAGCACGCCTTTGTATTTCTGATCCACACGTTTAAAAAGACTTTTTTTCCTTTTACATGAATTTTAATTCTGACCACAATGATATGCAAATTCTCTCCCAGGGTGTGTCACAGTTTTTCCTGTTTTTTGTGGCTGCATTATTCAAATGCCCACCTGCTTGATGTGAATTGAAACAAAAATAGGTGCTTCCTGTGGTTTTGTTCGGCTCCGCTTGCTCTTTTGGTTTTGGAAGTTGTGGGTCGCCAAAGCGGACGTCTCTCTTTTCTCTGTGTGAAAGGTCACCGTTTCAAACGTGTTGTAGGCACGGGAGGGTCACAGACTGTATATGAAAGATGGCTGTGCCCACTGTGACATCACCAGTTGGTTACTCTGAAGTATTTTGCTGCTGCTGTGTTGTTTTACAGAGCCACAGGTGAGCACATTTGGAGAGAGGGTGAAGTTTACATCCATTGGGAGTCCTCACACATTTGCTTTGATAACTTCCTTCTCAAACAATCACTGTGAATCAGTGATTCAGTGTTAGCATTATGGGGCTCTGTGGGGACTGTTGTGTCTCTGAGGCCTCCAGTGGTCATCGGAGGAACTGCAGTTTTTGGCATTTTGCTGCCTGGTGGAGGCCGAGGGGTTCTATGGAATAACTGAATAATTTTCATTGCTGGAAAATAAATTTGGCTTCAAATCCACAAACTGAGAGGCAGAAGAGCCACGGTGACACTCAGAGGGAAGGAAAAGATGCAGCTGCACGTCCGGCTTTGGCACATCTGTACATTAAGCGTCCGGAAGGTGAAGAAGAGCGCTGTAATCTTTAATAAATGTGAAATGAATGTCTGCGGTGAGAATGGCTCCATCGCAGCAGGAGACAAACGTGTCCTGTTATTTGGTGTTCCAGCTGGACGATTCTTGTCTCCAAAGCTTTTTATCTGCTGAAATTTGTGACACTGACGGTGCTTGATCACTATTTTAAAGACTATTTTGAGCCTTGACTGGTTCAGTTTTTAACTTTTGTTGCTAAGCAATGTTGACCAAAACTCTGCTTATTGGTTGGAGCTGGCACTTTTGCCTGGCAACATTACCTGATTGTGTATTCTGGAGACGCTGGCGAGAGCTTCCAGTTGCAGAAGATGGCGCAGGCTGTGGCATCGATCCTGCTCTGAAGGCCCTCTATTATTTCCAGCAGCTCGTCCTTAAATGCATCTGAACAACACAGCAGAAAAGGGGGCGGGGCCGCGAAATAAGCAGCGTACTTCACGGCACAGGGAATGTGAGTTTTGATAACAACCCGACCGGCAGGCAGACAGCTGCAGCCCTTCACCGGAGAGGACTGAACGGGGGCAGGGTTAATTAAGAAACCGGCTGACGTGCACGTCCGGGCCTATCGGGGGCGATGCATTTACTGACAATCACCTGGGCTCAGATTTCACTGCATTCAGCTAAACAAACACAGACATTCCTCCCTTATTAACCATCTATATTTACTAAGACGGTGGCTGTGATAAAAACGAAATAAACTGAAATACAGCTGAAACAAAAAACATGCTGTAAGAGAGAGCAGGGCAGCGCATCAATCAAACTTTATTTATTCATCAGTGCCCACAGTATTCACAGGCACGAGCTGATACTAAGACACAAAATTTGTATTAATTCATGATATTAAAACACAGATAAAAATGTGAGCTAATAAATGTTTCAGTTCTCTGGGTAGTGCAGGTGTCCATCTGCCATAAAGCAGCGTCATGGGTTCAACTCTGCGCTGAGGCCATTTAATTAGTGTCTTTCTCCCAGTTTTCCTGAATTTTCTCCCCTATCGTGGTCTAATAAAGGCTAAAAAAGCCGAAATATATTTAAACAATGGAAGTAAAATATAATAAAATAACAGAAATTCACAAGGAATAGAGGATCTGATATATGATGAATGTTTAATATTAAGATATAGCCAGAAAAATAAAAAAATAAAATTGCATGGATGGGTTGAATAAAACATAGAATGTCATCTCTGCAGAGGCCTGAGAGGCTGATCATTTAAATGAGCACAATTCATGAGAAATGCAAAGTAAGGTGTAATAATTTTTAAATTATAAAAAAACAATAAAACTGTTAAAAATGCTAATTAACAAGAAACATACTGTATATTAAAAGGTCGAGTAATTCAAGAAAATGATGAAAATTGAAAATTAAATAAACAAAATAAATGAACATCAAAGACGTTAGAATTCAGTTTCTCCTGCAGCTGCTTTTTTATACTTGACCTTTGACCTTATGTATAAGAACGCATTAATAATTTGTTCTTTTAGCCTGAAAAGCGGCCACGCTCTTTCTTTCTGTTTTAAGTGAACAGACTGAGATTTGGCATTAAAATGGTTTTATCAGCACTGATAAGGAGCCAGGAATCAGAGCCGATCATAAACTTACACTCGGGATGTTTGATTGGTGACGTTGGACATATTATCACAGAGGTCAAAGGTCACTAAATCGCCCAAGTCCTCATAAACCGATCGCATAACTCACCTACACATAACCACCGGTGGGAGCAGGCAGAGTGTGCTTCCTAAACCCGCCTGTTGGTGTCGCTGTCCGTCACGTTTTCGCACAAGCGCGAGGGTTCGTCTGCACGTTTATTGCATCTGATCAGGTACGACAAGCCCATTATCAAAATGCACGAGCTCGGTGCAGTGTGGTGATCGTGGATAAACTTTTCCTTCCACTCCCACGCACTCTCGCCCTCCTGATCCCACCGAAACTCCTTTTAAATGAGCCCAGGTTGAACAGGTGGGTGCTGATGCTCCAGCCGCACGTGAGCACGGTGCTGTGAGCGGGTCAGCTCCAGGATCAAACAGGTGTCACAGAAACACCCGAGCGCCGTGGGTTTTGTTCCCGCTCACATCGCTTTTATTTCAGATTTTACATTTTTATTTACATGTCGTGGGTTCATGAAAGGGAACTTTTGCAACATTTTCTCCGAGTTTAGGAGAATTCACAGAGATCAGAGCTGCACGGTGTCACAATCACGAACATGTCACACACGAGACGGGAACGAGTCCGGTGATGGTGTGTGTGAGCGGGCGTGAGGGTAAGAGTGCAGGAAAGTGGATTAAAATGAGAATAAAGTCGGTGCAGAGGACCACAGGTGTGTGAGTGTGTGTGAGAGAGCGTGTGTGTGGATGTATAGGTGGTGCCTGCCTGCTGCCGGGGTGCTGAGGCTGAGCCGCTGCAGGAGGGGGGCACGCTCGGGGGGTGCATGGCCGCCGCGTGGTCGCGCCTCTCCGCCGTGCCAGAGTCCGGCAGCGTCGCGGTCCAACTTTTCTGTACATTTTCACGTCACCTGGACACCGAACATAAATTTGGCATCCTATGCAAATATATGCTGACGTAAAAGATCATGTGGTTTTTGTCGTCGATCCCCCCTATGAGCAACGAGCAGGCTTTTTTTTCTCCTCTCTACTGTTGTCTTTAGGTTAGCTATGCTACAATCTTTACTGTACCCAGCGCTAGCTATATGCGCCCCGCACCGCTCCACTCTGGATCTCTGGGAATAATCAACTTCCAGCCTGTCGCACCGTGCAGCCACAGACTCCACACAGGTAGGACACGAGGGAAACTTCTCGTTTTTTTACTCGCGGGGATAAATTTTGACCAAAGTGACCGCAAAAGTGAAGTTATTAAAGCGGCTTGGTTGCAGGCAGACTAGCCGCCTGGCTCCCTCTCTCTGCCCAGGCTGCTGCTGCTGCTGTGGCTGCTGCTAGCGACCGTCCCCCTCCATCACAGCCTCTCGGAGTGGGAACCACGGCGCTCTCACCCCGCGGATCTCCTCGGCAGCCCGGCTGGGATGGAAATACTTAGACACCTGGCTGTCAGGTAACTTTAGTTGCGGGGTGACTGCTCTCCGGGTGTATTTGAGGATAGTTGTGAGACAAGTGAATGTCACCCGGTTCGCGTTGTTTTTTTTTTCTTCTAGTAGCCAACTTTTGCCGTCCCCCCTCCACCCCCGGTGAAAGTGCACATAATAAATTTATTAGCCATTGGGGCTAGCCGTTAGCCAGTTAGCCCCTGCTAATGACGGGCGACCCGGCGGAGCTAAGAGCTTTAGCTTTAGCCGTTCCCCGCACACAGCAGCAGAAAACGTGGCTGCCCGTCTCTGGATGTTGTGCTTTCATGTCGGGAAACGCATTTGTTTTGGCTGCCTCCCCCTCCTGTCTCCCGTCTTCCCCTCGGAGTTACAGCGCTGCTCCGCGGACCCGAGTGGAGGATAAATCCGCTTTTTGTCGGCGCCTCGGTCTCCGCGGAGCCGATGACAGTGCGGTTAAAGAGTCGGCTCAAGTGTTGTTGTTGCCCGCTGTAGGTTAGGTTCAAACGGGGCTAGCTAGCAGACAGCCAGTCTGGCTGGTTGGGTCATCTGAGGTGAAGCCTCCGTCAGCGGGGTGCACAGAAATACGCTGCCTGTTTGCGGAGAGCCGCTTCCCGCTGCTTTACCGACACTTTCCCAGCTTTTCCGCTTTATACTTGCCTTTCACCGAACTGTCTTTACCGTTAGATCGTCTTTTCGGGCTGTTTTCACCGCCGATGAGCGAACTGTTTGGCGGTCGCATGTTGAAGCGAACTGCCGTTTACTTTGGTATTAAACAGTTTTCCGCTCGGTGCTTTAAACGTGTTCAAATGTGAGGCTGAAGTAGTTTAAGAGGGGCTTTTGGGCCGGGCCGGTTCCGAGGACGGGTTGCCTGTTTGGTGGACAGACGCTGACTTCGTGCCAGTTAATGGCAGACTGGTTTTCTACTGGTTTCAGGCTGCCAGAATCCACAGCGCTCGGCTTTTCCACGGGAAACGCCGTCAGTGTTTGTTCTTTTTGCACAATTGTTTTTTTAAACTGCATTTATAAGGATCCGCGTTGATATTGAACTGCTTTTACTCCGGTTAAGCAGAAATGTGTGCGTTTTTTGCATAATTTTGCAAATACGCGCTCGGTGTATTTACATCCAGCGCCGTGTGTTTGCTGACAGACTGGGTCACTGCTGCCGCCCGACCGTGCGGGGAAACCGGCTTTATTAGCGCCCGTTTACTCACCGGGACTGCCTGCATGCCCCGTATGTGACACGGCCAGGAGGGTATCCACATGAGGGGCGTGGGGTGGCACCAGCCCCCCTCAAATATCAGTGCCTCGCCCCCACAGGTCCTGCGGTCTAATGTAACTTAGTGCATTTACTCAGATACTTTACTTGAGTGCACATTTAATAAACTTTCAATTTATTTAACGATTTCTCCTTAAAAAAAATCTCAGAATGAGCCTTTGCAGGATTTACTGCACTTGCAATCAAGGCACAGAGTTCCCCTTTTAACCTTAGTTAACAGAAAATTGGGATGTTTGATTATTAAAAATTAATTGTAAGCTTGGGAAAATTAAACCACACTTAAAAAATACTGTTTAAAAGTATTTTTTTTTTAAAGAAAGATGTTTGTTGGTGGGTTTTATATAAAACCAAACAGCTATATTTTGGATGCTTGTGTTGCACTTTGTGCTCTAGGCTTTGTTTTAAAGCTTCAGAGGGCTGCTGCAGATTTTAAAATATAAATCTACTCATATTTGGTGCTATAATATTTTGAATAACACCCCCAGCAGCATATAGGTACAGAAAATCATATCCAGCTGCAACATTAAAGTCTGCACACCATTATGATCTAATATTATGATGCATGTCGTTCAGCACAGTGAGTGGTCTGTATGTAGGTACTGGGAGTATATTTTGCAGTGTAATTTAAGGCTTTTCATACTGGTTTTGCTTCTTTGCACACTAGTTTTCTTCCTTTAAAATAAATGTCTGTATCATGGCTCAGGACTGAACATGAGTGTGAAATATTTTTATTTCCTTTGTGCCCCCCATTCGAAAAAAAGTCCCGCGTACACCCGTGGACGTGGCAGCTGTTCCTTCTTCTTGTAGTCAAACTTCTCCAAGTTCGCCCAGCCTGTGTTCACGATGTTCCCCGACCTAATTTCCTACCCCAAGCCCTGTTACATAAAATCATGAATAATTGGATGCAGCCGGCTCGCATGCCGCTTCAGACCTAACGCGGTGACGTGGTTGGAAATCAAAAAGCCATTTTGACCTGTGACCCCCTTCCCCCCGCCCCATGGCCCCCCTTCAGTTGAGAAATATCTCTAAAAAGGCGTAGTTGTGTTTGTTTTGCAGCTTTCCCTGCTGTCCTCATGTGACTCCCTGCAGTCTGAAGGACGTACAGGAGGAAGATTTCTGTCAGGCTTAGGCGAACAGGTGTGTAAACTGAATTTGGGCAGGTTTCACCCTCCACCACATCCCTGACAGTGTGACTGAAGTGTGTCTTGGCTCTTGGAAATCATTGGAGAGGCTCGTATTTGGCAGCGGCTCCTCCTCTTCCTCCTTCCTCTATACTGCCCGGTGACAGCCTTAAAATCCACCTCCTCCCCGCCGCTGCACCGTGCGCTCCCGCTGAAAGTGTGTCAGGATTTTTTCTCCTTTTCTTTTTTTTAATATTATCTCCCTCTCGCCTGTTCTGGTTCATAATCACATTTCCTTTTCCATTGACCGACTTTTTTTGTCTCATATTTTGCCGCTATTGTATCTGCGCCGTGTCAGGCTTTTTAATCCTATGATATGGATGCAGGGATCAGTCAGTCATGCTGCCAGTCTCCGAATCAGAGCACGCTCGCTTGCTCTCTGGCTGCTATTTATTTGTCACAAACGCCAACACACACACAGGCGCACACACAGCACGCAGCTTTGGTGCACTTTCCCTTCCTCACTACTACTCTCGCGTCTCTCACACACACACGCGCACACACACTTTCGCTTTTCCTCTTCCTGCCCTGACACGCTGCTTTTTCTCTTTGACACACACATTTTGCCGCTTCCTGGGAAGTGCAGCTGTGATTTGCTGTTGCCACCTGACCTGTCACCCCAGTCCCCCCCACACACACACACACACAGACACACACACACGCAGCCATAGTGTGCTTTATTTCACCGTTTGCACTGCTCACATCATTGGTTTTTTATTGCAGAAAATTGCTGCTCCACTCGTGTGTTTTCATTATTTGTAGCGATAGAAAAGGACCCCTTTCTGTGTGTGTCTGTGTGTGTGTGTTGCCCTCAGTGGCATTCAGTCGTGACAGCTCACACACACACTATGCAGCACTCTTTGTCGCTCTGTCAAACTGCTATTTATTTCACGCACATGCACACACACACATGCAGAAAGCATGCATGACAGCTGCATCTTTGCACACACACACATTCAGTCACTCCTTTTTTTGCTCTTGTGGCGCACACACATTTGTAGTTTGGGTGCTTTATGAAATAGTAAGAGGGTGTGTGTGTGTTTGGGAAAGAGTACGAGCATGCCAGGTTGTGTGTGAGTGAAGTGGGGGTGATTTTCTGTGAGTCACTGCGTGTGTGTGTGTGTTACTGTCCACTCCTGCCTCACTGCTGGAGCTCTTCACAGGGAAACACACACACACACACACACACACACACACACACACACACACACACACACAGCGGGTGCATTGGATGTGCGCTGCTGCTGCTGCTGCTGTTGGATCAAACCCACGTTCCACGTCGACTTGGAGGCTTTTCAGAGGTTGAAGTTTGAGCGCGAGCACCGGGATCCCCATTCGATCAGATTTAACTCCAGACCAGAGATGAAGCTCCTTCTTTTAATAATCTTTTATTCCTCATTTCTTGGTGCTAAAGCGGAAATCTCGCCCAAGGATTTTATGTCTTGGTAATTTTTTTCCCTCGTACAGAAATTAAAAGTGATATTTTTTTGCAGCTTTTTTTTCTGCTGTGCAAACATTCGTGCGCTGCAGTGAAGGCTTTCATTACTCGCCATGAAATGTATTTTTAAAAGTTGTGTGTGTGAAAAGTCCCACTGCTGTTTGTTCCAGCTGTGGAAAGGCTTTCAGCCAAATACGGTCATTTTTCAGCTCAGACCTGCTACTTTAGTAAAACATTAATTCCTACCTTTGAACTCGCGGGTGCTCATTTTCACAACTTAAGTCCATTTTTACACCTGCTTTCCCTCCGGAAACACATCTTTATACGTCTCCTGATCTTGTAAATCACCTGCAGACGACGAAGCTTGTGTAGTTATTAGGGCTAAACTGACAAAGCAGCCAGGCTGATTCATTGGTCGATAATTGCTCGGTGCAGCTTGATCATACCTGTATATTCAGCTGACAGGTACAGAGGATGTAAGGAAATGTCATGCTGTGCTTGGGCTTCCAGCTCTGCCCCATAAAGCTGGAAATTCGCTGACTAAAGTCGGGTTATTTAGTGTCTGGAGACGGTGGCCATTTTTTCTGGGCTGTCTGTGCTAAGACTTCCTGTTCTGTGAAACAGTCACATGTAGAGATGTTTGCGAAGCTAAAAAGAAGCGAAGCTGTCCTTTCTGTTAGTGTGTTCTGTCTTCTGCTCTCAACATGGGCCGTTTACCTGCTTCCATTCAATCCTGCTCGGTGATGACTGGTCATCTAAATACTTGGCACCAATCAGACAGAGACAATGGCTGAAGGTTTCACTGCAGTTTGGCGTTTGAGCTCTCCGAATGAACCAAT